GGTGGACTTACATGACATCCATAAAGTGTGCTGGAGGGCAATAGGCTGACTCTTAGAAATCCGTCCTTGAAGAATGACTCCATCAGAGACTCACAGTACACACTTCTCTCTGCAGGCAAATGTGAGAGGTGGCAGAATCTAGAGATAAAGCAGTAACTGGGAGAAAAATTTGGCTATCTTTTGCAAACCAGCACAGTGCACAAACTCTGAGCTACTGGTGTATACATCAGTCCAAAGAAGAGGTACTGGTTCAAGGCTCTAGAGCAGTATATTATGTTATCAGCATGCCTGAGCTGATAAGCTGCGACAGCATCACTTGCTAACAGTAAATAAGTCTGCACTGATGCAACTGCAGCCTGAATTTAAGCTAGTTGATACTGAAATATATATTGTGTTCCATTTCATATATAAATAGGTCCTAATTGTAACAGCTCTGCATATTGTATCTGCAGTGCCATTGACTACATAGAACTTGACTTTAATTTAGCAGGATTATAGCAATGTTATGCATTGGTCTGGGGAGTAGCAGATGTCTTGCAGTTGTTGAACTATGTGAGCTTCAGTTCCGTGAAGTTAAGCTTAATCATTACAGGTGGAAGTCCTAGTAGAATAGTCATATTTTAGAGTGTCTGCTTTTATGAGCAAGCAGATAAAACTACATTACATTCCTGCACATAAAGCCAGCTGGTAACTTGTTAATAATTATTCTAATCAGGCATTTATTTGTCACTTCATGTGGAAAACACAACCAGTGGAAAATATTTCACTTAAAATTTTACGCTTTCTATACTTTGTAAGATAAGTCATTCCTGGAAGTTAATAAGGAATAAATATTTCTATATTTTTTAGGTTAGGAGAAGGAATAACTCTATGTTAAATTTACAGCCTCCCCATACTTTTAGTGTCCTGTTGTGAAAACAGAGCCCTGAAATGTTACCTAACTGGATTTGCAGCTTCCCAACAAGTGATGTTTTTGTCTGCGTCTTGCACAGCTGAAATCAAGGCAAGAGATTCAGGGCCCAGGATTCCACTGCAAGTGAATATGGGACTTAACAGGGTCTTCATAAACTTTACAGAAAATACAAAAATGAGTGATTTAATTAGGGAAAAAAAAAAAAAAGGCCTGTGTGTATGTTGCACAAATCATTCATCAGGATCATATAAAATATCCATGGGTTAATTGATATTTTAATAAGTAGCTAAAGATCATTTGAAAGCTATTATTTAAGATAGCCTAAATTAGAAGGAAAATAGATTTTACCTGGGAGCCAGCAATTACAAATGTATGTGCTCAGTGAAGGCTGTCATATGTCAGTGCTGCAGATATCCAGCAGGAATGATTTGCTTTGGATCAAAATGCCATTCTGTATTTTAGTTCCCATGAGAAGTTAGATATCTATAACTTTATATATATATATATATCAATACCAATGTAGATATGTGAATTAGAAACAAATTAATTTCCTTCAACCTCCAAAGAAAAGAAGTGTGAAATAACCATGAAAAGGTCTGTACTGTTTATTCAGTGGCAGCAACTCTACGTATAGAGTGAGTGTGTACAGGCATACAGATGGCTGTCTGCATTTTAAAAAGTGCAATTTATTTTCCCCTGAGTAGAGTACATAATTGTTGGAATTGAATGTACATGGTGAAGTAAAAAAAAATATGGTGTTATCTTAAAATTCTACCTTTAATTGATTGAATGTATCACCTCACTGTGTAGAACAATACTAGATTCTAGGACTCAGCTCTAACCAGTTAGCTGAATCGGCTCTTTCTTGTGTGTATTTTCAAGAGTTGTTAGATCAAGTCTGTTTAACAAAATGTGTAGCTTCATTAAATATGGTAAATAGGGTCCTACCTTGTTCATTAAGAATTGTGGTTAATTCAAGATATTAGGGACCTCAATGAGTTGTTGTATTCTATTATGTTTCTGTATTTGGTACATCTGTAAGCAATGTCTGAAAGGTGTATTGCTGCCTCATTGACAGAAACCCGCAGGGAAGAGGGAGTGGAGACAGTGCTTCCTGCAGAGTAGAAGGTGAAGAATATTTTGGGCTCAGTGATACTACTGTCTTACTAACAAAATCAATCGTCATCCTTACATGTTTTGGTGTGAATCTCAATACAGGTTCCTGTTCTCCTTGGAGACTGTGGAATTAAGTTGTCTTAAGAGTACAGAAGTGTCTGTAGCCTAACTTCCAATTGGTTTGTGTCTCTGCTTTCATTAAGCTTGTTATATGAGAACTCTTACACTGTCTAATACAAAACTCAATGGTTATTGATTGGAGGGCAAATAGGGACACATGCTCTCTCCCTCTCTCTCTCACACACACTCACACACAAAATGAAAAAAAAACCAAAAAAACAGAAGGAAAAAAGTCCTGGGAATCTCAGCTGCAGACTTTAGCTTGGGGATGCTAAACTCTCAAGGATTACTAAGTTCCTTTGCTCTTTATTTCTCCTTTTCCTAAGCTGAAGACTGAGAGGCAAACTGGGGATAAAGTCTGTAGGGAAGCACCAGACACTGATGAGATATCTTCGGGCCATTTTTAGGAAACGAGTTTCTATTGCTCAAGTGGGTAAGAAACTGGAAAGTTCAGGTGAGCTAGCACCAGAACTGAAGCATCCTATCTGTGCTGATAGACCTGCTCTAGGACTATAATCCAACAAGAGTGGTGAGAGGACACCAGTAGAGAAGTCCTCATCATAGAATGGAATCTGAAGTCCAGGCTAAAAACTACTACAAGGTGTAGCTGGAAAAAGTAGGAATCATGAAGAAAAGGCAGAGGCTTGAGAACAGCGAAGAAAGAGAGAAGGCTGCTATTAACTGTGCTCATATAAAGAAGGAGGGAGGTCTGCATTACAAGCTGTAGAATGAAGGTGGAGACTGAGAGACCAGAGTAGATTTTAGGTGTCTTGAGACTTGCATGAGAAGCAAGAGGTAAGAAATATGACTGGCTCTGGATAAGTTTGAGAGGATTGTGCAGAAGATTGATAAGCATGTGCTTTTTTTTTTTTTTTTTTTTTGAATGGATTGTAATTTTCAGTTCAATCTTCAAGATTGAACTTGATCTTTAGATCTAGTTAAGTGTTAATCTTTCGGTGATTTTGGCCTTTTTAGCTCAAGTATCAGCTGCTCCAAGATCTCCTCATATCACATATTTAAATAATTCTGCCCCAAGACTTTTAGGCCAACAAGGTTAACATTGAGATTCTTCCCAGTATTTCCTAGAGTAGCCCTGTACTTCTTCCCCTCCATCTATGAGAAAAGGGAACTGCTTCAAAGACCATGAGAGCTAAGTATAGCCCAACTCCCATAGAAACTCTGTAAATCCAAAAAAAAAAAAAAAAAAAGGATAACAAAGAACAACAAACCTTAAAACAAACAAACCATTTTGTTTAGTGATGTAGTGGGGCTAATAAAGGTAATTTGGGGGCATTCCTACTGAATAAATATGCTTTTCTTTTGTTGTGACTCTGGCAGTCTAGATTATCCTGCCAAGCTCATTTCTGAATAATAGAAAAGGTATCAACATCTTTTGTATGTTTTCTTCTTTTAAAAAAGTCTTTGTGATTATGGGTGGTGCCCTATTCTTGCACATGGGGCCAAACAGGGATTCAGCACCTGTGTTACTTCTGTTTATCTTCCCACTCATGGGAGGATGTAATTAATGGAGCTGAGTTCATCACATTGTGCTCTGCAGTGAGGTTGTTAGTAAGAGTCAAATCTATTCTATTCTGTTACATAAGAGGAAATCCAGGTATGCTGTGGAAGTCTAGATGGAAGAAATGACAGAAAGTTGGAAGGAGCTTTTCATTCTTCTTCTTGCTTTCTACATGCAAACATAAAGTACTCAATTTCGAGTTGTTGAATACTCCCTACTGCTGAATACTCCCACTCCCTAAGGTCAAAATTTAACAGAATTCTAATCTCCATGAAAAGGAGTATACAGGTCTCTGTGGGCTTGGGGAAGAAGCTGGTCTCTCCCATATTTAAGTAGCACACTGATGTTAAGAGTAGCCTGAGTTTGCTGGTTATCCAGCTGAAGAACTGAAATATGGGGAAAAGTTTTGAGATATAGCCTGGAAGGAAATTTTCTTCCACAAAAGAACCTTAAAACAAGTTCTGAAGGAGCAAGAAAGTTTTTTTTTTTTTTTTTTTTTTTTTTTTTTTTTTAATCTCATGTTTTGTATTATTTTGTTTTCAGACAGTGAAAAATGAGAAGCTGTAAATGAGTAAATTCCCACCAGTCACTGTTTTCTTCTCACTAAGTGACTCAAAGATAGGATATATTGTGAATCTTCTGAATACCAATCAAATTCAGGTCCCATGAAGTGAATAGTTGGGTTACCATAGGTGCTGATGCAGATCTTGATCAAGCAGAATGAGGTAACTGGAGGTCCAGTACAGTTCTCCCTTCGTAGGCTTAGATCAGGGAATCAAGTTATGATTTTCTCAAACCTTGAGGAATCTGCAAACAGGAGGTATTTCCTTCTGCAAACTATGTCCAACTATAAGATTCTTGAATTTCTGCAGTACACTTTTAAAGCAAATTTGGCTTTGCTAACATCAGTGATTCACATTAATCAACTTTCTTTTTTGAAGAAAAAAAAAACCACCAAAAACAGGTTTGCTTTATTTATGTTTTGTGATGATGGGGGGTTTTTGTTGTTTTAATTGTTGGTTTTTTTTCCTGTGTTGTAAGAAACAAGATGTCTTGCCATGTGCTCCAAGGTGATTGCCCTCTAGGGACAAATTGTGTTTTCATGTGTAAGATTGTTTTTATACAGTAGATACCATCTAATACTTCCACTCACTTTTCAGAAATGAGAAACAGAATCCAAATGACCTTGAGTTGGAAAACATTGATTTGTTATTCCCTTTTATTTTTTCCTAGTGGGTGAATATCTTTTATTTTAGAGTTTGCCAATATTACAGCTGAAATAATTAACAGTAGTTGTTGTACTCTTGTTGTTTAACTCTTTATTTTAGGTTTGTTGGAAACCCAGTCTTTGCATGAAGCAGATGAAGATATGGTCACTGATGTTGATTTCACCAGCATGATTTCTGAAGAAGAAAAAGAGGAGTTAAAGGCTGAGCTGGCCAAGGTAATTACTTTGAATTTCTGTGAGTATTAATGTTTCTATTTCTGTTAATCAATAGATATTAATTGTGGGATGAAGTATACATCATAATGAAATGCTCTTTCTTTAGGTAAAATTATTCTAGACTACAATAGTTCAAAACAATTATTTTCCGTAAGTATTTTTGGAAGATTAGCTAACTTTTACCTTCTGATTGTAGAGATGAAGTTAAACATGCCATTTTAGTCAACAAAAGCCACTTGTCTTTATATATATATATATATATAAGCCTTTCTTTACAAAGACTGAAAGATATTCTTATTACATCTATGAAGTTGTAGTGGTGTGACACCTGATAGAAACAATTCTTTGTATGATGCTCAGAGGAAAATCTGCTGCTTATGGTTATAGAAGGGTCTGATGATTAGCACAGCAATTTCATCAAGTTTTTGTTTCCTTCATGACTGATGTGTCTGGAGAGGGTTGTATCAAAGCTTCAGGGCATGTCATAACACCATGAAAAGATTTAAAAAATAATATTTAATAAAAAAGAATGTGTGAATTATGCGTCCTTTTTATTACAAAGGCTCAGGAGCTTGTCTAGATTTGGCCTAAGGTAAGAGTGTTATGAGAAGGATTTGCTGTTATTGCACATGGAATGGGCTTACCCAGAAGACAGCTCTCCTCCTGAGAGGAATTCCTGTCTTCTGTACAACAAATACGTAAATCAATATTAAGCACCATATAAAATACTTTAATAATTAAGAATGCTCTAATCAATCTTAATGACTCTCAAGTCATTTTAGCAGCGTTGATTCAGTATATTTATTGAAACAGGGGAAAAAAAAAAAAAGGATTTTTTTTCTGTGCTTTAATGTTACATCAAGCTTTTTATTCCAAGTTGTTAGTTACTTTTGACAATTATTAGAAGGAAGTTGAAACTTCACTTACTCACTTACAACAATTATGTAGGAATTTACCCTTTAACTACTGGCCCAACAGAAAACAAAATGTTCACTCTGTACTCCAGAAAGCACTTCTGTGCTATGCAGGTGATGGAGCATTGGTGCTGGTGATGGAGGACTGGCACAGGTTGCCTCAGAGCGGCTGCGGGGTCTCCTCCTTGGAGATATTCAAAGCTGCCTGGATGTGGGCCTGTGCAGCCTGCTGTAAGTTGTCCTGCTTGAGCAGGAGTTGGACCAGATAAACCCAGAGATCTCTTTCAGCCTAAATGCTTCCTTTCCCTTTTTAGGTGAAAGGGAAAAATTAGGTGTATGGAAACAAGGGAAAAAAAAAGCTTCCTGCAACCATCTGATACAGATATGTCTCTTGCAAGAGGATTTATCCCTTGTCTCTCTTGCGTGCCTGAAAATTCCTGAGAGATGAGTTTTCTGACAGAAATGCTCTAATTCTTGTACCAACAAACAAATGAGAGATTGCCTTTCAAATACTCTGATCTTGGCTGACCTGGAAATAATTTTCTGAGTTTACCCACAGCAATTCACTGGCATACAGCTTACTCTTGAAAAAAACCTGTAATTGTGCTGAGAAAGGCTTGGAACTTGAGCTTGGTGAACTCTTATGCTTAAAAGAAGTTTATGGTTCTTTAAAAAGATGTACAAAAGCTTGTAAGATCTCAACTCTTCCAGGAAAAAGCTGTGGCAATTGGGTGATGTTTCCTTTTCAAAAGCAATCTGTTTTTGTTTTCAAGTCCTGCTCTACTCCACCAATGGTGGTTTTGTTTTCCTCCATATCTTTATGTGTTGGTTCAATTTCCTCTGAGGAAGAGGGCTGTGCAAACACCCAGGCCAGGATACTACACTTTGGTTGGTGATATGGTAAGAAAAAAGGATATTTAATTTGGCTTAGAAATATGGGATTAACCATGCTGTCTTCTGTTGTTGTTGTTGTTGTTACACTTGATATTTATCACTCAGGGCCTTGATTATTAAAACTAACATAATAAACATATTCAAATTAATATTCAGCTTATCATTCCAGCCTGTCATTAATATTATTCCAACCAATAGCTGCATTTTTACACATCTTTCCACCTCCACATTTTACATGGTACTGTGTATTCCGGAATATATAGATAATATCAATTTACATAATTCTTTTTTAATATCAGTTTTTTCAGAATTCTCTATTTTACCTCATAAGTACTCTCTGAATTGTTGTTTGTGGATTTTGTTGTTGTTGTTTCCATGGGAGTTATGTATGTTACCTGCTTAAATGGTTTTCAAGATCCCACTGGAAGTCCCTAATTCTTTCTCAGTCTTTGGTCACTGGTATCTGAGCACTTTGGGGAAGCTTTGTGTCTGCCATTAAGTTAAAATGATGGAACTTGAGGAGCATTTTGTCAGTTCAAAGCTAGTTTCTGATCTCTTAAGAAAAATAATGTATTTAATACAATCAAAAATGTTCATACTTGCACAACTGAGCATGGGGTTAATACTTTTTTAGGAATTCACATCTTTTGGCATCTATTCAAGTGAACAGGTGGAAGTTAACTGTAATAGAAACCTTCAAATGTTTACATATCCAAGTACCTAATGATCAGCCTAGTGCTACCCAGTGGAAAGCTAATGTTTATGTACATGAAAACGTACTGGTGTTGATTTAAATTAAATTCTTTAACAGCGTTACTCAGGCAAACTTCTGGGAAACAAAGAGGATTGTAAATTGCCGTCAAAGGTGTGCTGAATTTTGTGATTTCTCCATTCTGTAAGCATTTAACCAGTTATCCTCTCAGAACAGAAACTCATACTGTCTCTTGACAGCATCTCATTTACAGCTTAGAAATATAATGGAGCGTTAGGGATAGGGTGAAAGAATAAAGCAATTTTGGATTGTTACCCATTCTACCAATGAAGTGTTGGTATCACAAGTCTTGGTGAATGCTGGTATCTGCTTCACTGTGGTCGTAGTTTTGCTTTGTGTTCATAGTCTTACTGCTTAAGTTTTTGAATAATTTAGATAGTAGGTAGTGACAAAGGAAAGAAACTGGTGGCTGGTGGATTAAACAATGAGATTTTTTAAAGTACAGTGGGCTTGCAGACACTTTTACAAGGAATTGGGATGCATGAATGTGTAAGACAAAAATAATGCCAGTACTGACATTGTAAATATAGCCCTAAAGGTCACAACTGAATCTGCTGCTGCTTGCCTCGTTCCTTGCAGCCAACAGAGGTAAATCTCAGGATGAGTGTGATCTCAGGGAACTTAACATATGGTATGATACATCACCATATGTTATACTGTTAACACGTGGAGGAAGGAACACAGTTGGTAAGGGAACTTTTAAACCTGAAGTGAAAGGCACCTGCTCATGTTGCTTACCCTTGTTAGCTTCAGTACCTCTGAGTACTGGTTGCAATTGGTTTAGGAATCTTCCTAATGAAGAATTCAAGCCTGTGCTCATGGGAGTGCTGTCCAATGGGTAAACAGTCAGTGGCAAACTGTTTCAGTTGTCCCCCTTCTTAGTCAAGTTCTGGGCATTGCCATACTAAAACTCAGTTTGGGTTCTGATGTGTTTGAAATAATGTCTACTGCAGAGAGAATTATATCTCTCTGTTTGGGATGAATGTCATCTTTACAGCTTGAATTTACGTAGTGGCAAGGAGCTCTGAAAACGTTAACCAATTGTGGTTTTTTGAACAATTTTCACTTTTATTTTAAAACATGTAGTGAAATTTGTTTTAATTTAACTTGCTGCTAACAATTTGTGTTTATTTTTTCATAAGCGTGCGAGATTAAAACATAATCTTTAAGTTAAATGTCTGTGCATTAGAAGAGAGATATCTATCTGAATTATCCAATTGTCTTTTGTCCAATTTCCTCATGAATGAAAAGGTGATATTTGAGGCTCCTGATGTCCAAAGGCAGATCTTGGTCAGGTTGTTCTGTTGTCACTTCCTGTCCAGTGTATTCTCTGTCTTATCAGGTGTGTACTGTGGTGTATACAGAGAGAGACATCTACAGCAGTGGCGTCAGCTATGTTCTGGACAATTTTGTAATTTATACACACTCGAATCTCTATGCCTCTCTTGTCACATAAAAAAAAAAATACAAAGCCACAAGTTTGTGCGAGATGCATTTAATCTCCTAAGATAGAATGTGTTTATCTTTCTGCGTGAACAGGCTAACACCTCTCTTCTTTCTCCTCCCTCTTTGTTTCTCTCAGCTAGAGGATGAAATTTCAACTTTGCGGCAAGTACTAGCAGCCAAAGAAAAGCACCTGATTGAAATTAAACAAAAGCTTGGCATGAGCCTGATGAATGAACTGAAGCAGAACTTTAGCAAAAGCTGGCATGATATGCAGACAACTTCTGCGTGAGTACAGACTGCACAAATTCATTTTGATATGTTGTGTAGCACATTAGAGATACTGCCTTTGAGCCCTGGGATGAAATTTTTCCATAAAGATACCTGCCAGAAGGGGTAGTAAACAGGGGCAAGTATGTCAAGCCTCTTAGAACAAGGAGACCTGATGAAAACCTTCCAGAGCAACAATATGCTTTGCTACTGTATTGTACCTTAATTTTGCAAACTCAGAGCAAATGAATCTGTCATGGGACTGAGGTCAATCTTCCTGTCCCGTGACACATTCCTACAGTTTTTACTGAGGAGAGAAAAAAACGTTATTGATCTCAACGTATTATATTTTCCAACTTCCAAGAGAAGAAAGATTACCAAATATTAGCAACTATTCAAAAACAAATAATAAATATCCCATCATCTGAATTATAAAGGATTACAGATGGAATCAGCTGATGTACATTTCTGTTGAATTCCTGCTCCTGGCTAGCCAAAGGAAACATAAAACGTTGTTGATGTTAACTGTGCCATCTTTAAGGTTATCTTAAGTCCTCTGTATATCAAGTACATCAAGTTTTGCAATTTACCAGCATTGTGTTCTTTGGCAAGTCACATACCACAGCCTTGGTTTACCGCTGTGGTGAGTGGGTAACTAGTTCACAAGAGTTTAGTGAAATTCTCCTTGAATGTTTAAGCAGCGCTGGGTTTCTAGGGTGAAAAGTAATGTAGAAGTGTAAATAATAGTTACTCCACTGCATCTGTTCAAGTAGTTTAATGTGAACTTTCTTTTCTAGAACCAGACCAATGTACTGCGGAAGTCTGTAGTCTAACCCAGTTGCTACCTTCCAGGAAGGTGCATTTGAAAAATCCCTGAGAGCTTAGGTGAATTGAGCAAGGGAGGGAGCTTATTTGAGTTACAGCTTGCTGCCAAGAGCTATTAGTGCAAGCCTTGTGTAAGGAAGGAATTAAAAATACACATATGGAGATTGTGATAGGATCTGTCCTAAATCTACCATTCCTGAACTGGGAACTGACAGAAGTTTCAAGATTTTATTTATTTATTTGTTTGTTTTTCAGCTGACAACTGAATTTGAGAGTCATAGGGAGATGCAAGAGTGAGCGACCTCACACAAGAGGAGTTGATAGAAAGGCAGGTAGGGCACTGGGATTACCCATGATAGAGCATTCTCATAGTACCTGAAGAAAGAGAGCAGAGCAGGTTCAGTGACAGTAAATACAATCAAGGTAGAAGTCAAGAAGTCAAATAAGTCATAAGCCCCTTAGTAGGAATTGTGGTTTGTACGCCTTCTGATGTTTAGTTTTGGGCAGTTTGTCAGCTAGGTCTAAATGTCATCTAGTTTTCATGAAATTGTCACTAACAGACGCACTTGAGAGACATTGTCAATGTTGTCTACCACAAGTTCTAGGAGACGGTAGTTCACATGCACTGAACTTTAGAAGAGAGGAGAAGCAGAAGGCACCTAACCTGTGATTACTGGGAGACACTAGCAGAATTTCAAAATAAAAGCTTCAAATGTTACTTGAAATTTTGTAGCATTTTCTGAGATAGCTTCTCACTTTCCATTCTGAGAATTGATATTTTTTCACAAAAATAAAGAGACTTTAGGAGCCTTTATCAATATGGTATCTGCTACTCTTTAAAATGAGCTTCAGAAACAAAAAGCCATTCAGTGCTCCAAGCCACCAGTGTTTGGAACTGAGCAGCAAGGAGTCCGTTTGTACCCTTGAACGTCCTGTTGTCTGTAGTCCAACTGTGATATTATTCTGCCCGATACTCACTGTACAAATCATGGTAATTCAACATTCTTAAAAACAGATGTGTTATGTAATATAGTGGTGATTTGTTTTTGCTAGTCCAAAATAGCAATGAAATAGCATTACTCACTGATATTCTCTGATTTAATAAGGATGGAAAGGCTTGCTTTAAAAAATAAAAGTCCAAAATACTTATATTCCTCTATTTTAAACTTCTAAATCCCAAATTAGTTATTTTTAATTTAAAAAAATATATATATCATGTTTTAAAGAGGCTACTTTTGCTTTCATGAATCTTACTGGTTTTTGTAACCACTTTTTCTTGGGGAAAATTGTCCCCATTTAAGAAAAAAAATTTTTTTCAAACCCACAAAGCACAGTTATGCACTAAAATTTTGGTCATTTAAAACTTAATAATCTTTTAAACTCTCCAGCTGGGGGTACATTTTTTAGGACTAAAGTGCAATTAGAGACTCAGCACCCAACTCAAAGAATGAATGCCAGTTGGAATGACTGTATATAAACTTCATATCCTAACTTTTTAAAAACTATTTACATTTGAAAAGGTTGTCCAGGTAGGTTAGGAGTTAGCCTAAGCATGCTTGACATGTGGTGCTCAGGGACATGATTTAGTGGAGGGTTGTTAGAGTTAGGGTAGGTTAGGTTGTGGTTGGACTCGACGATCTTTAAGGTTTTTTCCAATGTGAGCAATTCTATGATTCTATTCTATGTATGTGTCAGAAATTATTACTAAAGGATTCTGATGTGATTAAAAAGGAAAAAAAGATCATGATCACAATGAAGAAAGCCAGAGCTGAAGGTCAAGTTGGCTAATGTTCTCCACTGAAGATTATGACAGGCTCAGCATAGAAGTCTGCATAAGGTCTATTCCTGTCTTATTAATTTATGCTACAAATTGTGCAAAAGCATTTCTGTCTCTTGTAAGACACTATATTTATGGCTGTAATGTACAGCTCTTTCTGTATCAAACTAGTTTTTTTTTTTTTTAATCAGCTTTGTTTTTCTGTAAAGAAAAGCTGTAATGTTGTTTGCCTTCTATGAAATACACGTTGGAAGTCATCCACTTACGATAACCAGAATCATAATGCATTTATTACACTCTTCATTCATTTCTGTTGCTGTTTTGCATTATGCTTATTTTTAGTACAATCTTTGTATTAGGAAAAGGAGGATCTTCTACTATAGAGGATATCAGTAACTAAAGAGCAAGTGTTTGTTTCAAGCTTAGTTTCATTTCATCAGCTGGAATGATTCCCCATCACCACTTTTTTAAAGATCAGTGTTACAGTGAATAGAGGTGGGTGGGTATCATGTTAGCTTCTAGCAATGCAGGGTTTTATTTATATTTTAAACGTATCTAATTCATTTATTTGAATTCCAGAAGCAAGTTAATGTTGGCAAGTTTTGAGGTTATTTATTTATCTTAAGAAATCATTAAAAATGTCTTCAAAGAGGTATTTATAGAGACCACAACTGAGCTTTTCTTATAAGTGTTCTGCTACAAAGGAAAAGTTTTATGTAACCTGAATACAGTGTGTTTACTTATCTAAATTTTTTTGATTGGTGATGATTCAATAAAGTTTCCACAGTGGTTTCTATTCTTCTGCACTTAAAATTTTCCCTGTGTAGTGCATAGAGGTAAAATGATTGCTCCAGCGAGTATTTTACCTAGTTTTATGCAGAATCACAGAATAGTCGAAGTTGGAAGTGATGTCTGGAGTTTATCCAGTCCAGCTGCCCAGTGCAAAGTGAGTTAGACTGGTGTTCTAAGGACTATTTCCAGTCTGGTTATGAGTCCAAGGTTGGAGTCTACAATATTCAGTCACCTTTTCTGTGAAAAACCTTTTTCTTACATTTGAATATTTCTTGTATCTTGTTCACTCCCTTACAGTTTTTCATATACACAAATTAAATCCCCTTGAGTCTTGTCTTCTCCAGGCTAAACAGACCCAACTCTCTAACATCTCCTCATTGGAGTAATACTCCATTGCCTTAATCATCTTGATGACCCTTCACTGAACTTTCACCAGTATGTCCACGTCCTCTTCATGTAAGAGGAGCCTAGAGCAAGACTGCACTTCGCTGCACTGATGGTCTGGCTTTAACTGGTGGCGAGCAGAGGAAAGGGATTACCTCCACCAATCTACTAGTCAGTATTCCCTTTGGTGAACATGATTAGGTTCCTCTTGCCCCATCCCAGGGAGGTTGTGGAGTCTCCTTCTCTGGAGATATTCAAGACCCGCCTGGATGCCTACCTGTGCGACCTCGTGTAGGGATCCTGCTTTGGCAGGGGGGTTGGACTCGATGATCTCTGGAGGTCCCTTCCAACCCCTACGATTCTGTGATTCTTTGATTTTTCTAGTCAAGGTCAAAAGTAATAGTATTCTTTAATGCAGTTACAAAATTGCCTTGCATAATATATGGACAAGATTACAAATATTAATTTATATTTCTCATCTCTCTCATAGAGGTAGCTAAAAACACCTTCACCTTTAGCAATCATATGCATTGTAACCATGCCCAACTTTGTCCTTCAGCCTTTAAGCTGTTGTACTTCTCACAGAAGAAAACAATGGGATGTTATAGCGTTGTACTCTAAGGAGATAGATAAATCAGGGCTAGTGAGTTTCTTAGCAGCAGCTGTATCTGTGAAACAATCACCAATAACCTCACTCAAGCTAACATTTCCCATAAACTCCTTCTCATTCTTGCTTGAAATATTGGCACCTCTTAGAAAGCATAGGTCTTTTCTTTTTTAAGTGGATAACCTTCCAGCCCATAAAAGAGAATGTGAAATAACCACGGGCATTGCTTCTAGGGAGTTGATTTTGGTTGGTTTTGCTACTAAAAGCACCAAAACTAGTACCCCAGACATTCAGACCACTGTAGGGAGCTGCTTGTTTGTGTCCAATAAATCATTGCAATATCTAAAAATTGAAAGAAAACCTATTCTCTTTTCAAGAGCTGTAGCAATGAAATGTCTCAAAGCCCGTATACTTAGTAATTTGAAGCACTAGGACTGCTTTGAGGTGATGGAGAGTGGAAGCATCTAGGGTAGGAATCTCACAAAACCGTGTTTCCAAACAGGCTTTTCATCTTTTGCTCTCACAGACAAAATAGTCACTTCTAGAAGCTGAAAATTGTGTGAATTAAGTAACCAGAATCAAGAGAGCTGTAAGTGCTCACTCCAATATGTTTCCGTGTTTTCAAGATAGCGC